AGAGAGGAGGGTGCACGGTAGGGGGGTCTGGCCCACGGTGTATACCTTTAGAACTACATCTCCTCTCTCCTGTATGCCAGAAATAGGGTAATCGAAAAAAAAAGGAACTTACTCATCACATATTTCAATGGTACCATCTAACCTGAGTTTAGGTTTACGATATCGTTGAAGTATCTTATTGTTAAGAATCTATCTATTGTTAATAATGGTCAAAAAAGCTATGTTTTCATCAGCCGATAATTTGACTAATTTGCCTCAAAATATTGACTAATTTTGCCCCAATCAATTTTTAATTTACCTGCTCAATCAAGTAAATGTTTTCTTGTTGGACTAGTCGTTAAAATCAAAGTCAAAATCCCTGTCCTAAATGCCTCAGTTAATTCGTGTTCCAAAAAGCATGTTTTCCGTTTGGAACACAACTATTACCGCTTTAAATGGGCGATTAAGTTTCATATTTTTGCTAATTTAACATGTTGCTAGATATGTTCAAAGATCCAAAATTTAGGTTGCACACATGTGAAAAAAAAAAGAAATAATATCTTTTTACTGTTCAATACTACAACTGAACAAACTAATTTATCTTCTCAATATGAAAATATTTATCCTAAAGCTAATTGTCCAAGTGCTCAATGGCATTGCTCTCGGATTACTTACGTTTTCTTGTTTGTTAGCATCTACCTTATGGTACAAACAGGTTTTTTGTCATAACCTTGAACTTATTTTTGTACTTATGTCCCAATAGATTCACAATCAGCCACCATGAACCAACGAAGGGTGACACACACCAAATAAAGCACTTCCCCATAGTCCAGTCAGGTTTGGAAGCCAAGTTGGTCTTCCCAGATTATTGTATCTCACTATACCAAACCAGGCAGAGGCCTATCAAGCCACACTTCTTGGTCCATTGTCTATCTATGGTATACTAGAGAGTGCTCAGCATACTATCATGAACTGCACTTCGTTTTAAATCACTAAGGGCCAAACCACTGAGAAAAACCAGGCTTTATGTTCTCTCAAAGAACAATTTCCCTCAGGTCACAGAAGATAATTACCCACACTATTGGGTTATCCAGAAAATAATGCAGGATTTTGAGTTTTCTTTAAAATACCTCTCTGTATAACAAACTGTTTACATTTACTGGATTATTCATTAGTACGAATTATACCCTATACCCTCACGCACTCATTACTGTGTAGGGAAGCGACCCACGATTAGCGGATGATCGGTGGGAATTCCTTGTTAAAAGAAAAGCTGCTAAATTAAAACCTCTAAATAATCTTAGTGAAGACAATCTCGAATACTTCCGAACGTTAAAGAATGAAATGACGAAATTGTTTAAAAACAAAAAAAGGGGTTATCTTAAAAATAAAATAATGAAATAGAAACTAATAGAATCGACAATAACATAGTAAGACACATGCAAAAAGGTATAAGCAGATCACATAAATGTTTAGGGCCTGTCACGTCTGGAATTACTGATGTGAGTAATAATATTCTGACCGATTCGGTAGACACATTAAATAAGTTTAAGAAATACTTTGATATTTTAAATACGAGAAATAATAATTTGTGTCCTCCTTCTGAGTACCAGAGTGCTAAACCGTCAATGGAAGAACCGAGGAAGTTAAAATAGTTATCAGGAAACTAAAATTTTATAAAGAATTGGGAACCGATAATATTCCTAACGAGCTAATTAAGGAATGCGGGTAAGCTGGAGTTTCTAAAATACATTTGTTGGTTAAAAAGATCTGAAAGATGAGAAATTGGCTGAAGAATAGAAATAATCGATTTCTATTCCGATTCATAAAAAGGGCTCGAGGACAGATTGTAATAACTATTGGGAAATTTCAATACTTCCTGGATGTTATAAAACATAAACACTAATCCTTAATAATCGAATCACTGAATACGACGAGGAATGACTATCAATGCAAATTTAGACAGAACCGTTCAACTATTGATCAAATATTTACTTAGCGGCAAATATTGAAGAAAAAAAATAGAGTATAATGGTGTTGTTAATCAGCTGTATGTCGATTTCAAAAAGGCTAACGATTTTGTTGTCTGTCAGAAGCTGTATAATATTTTAATCGAGCAGAGGATTCCAAAAAAAAAATTGAATCTAGTTAGGATGTTCTAGACGGAAACATTCAATTAAGTTGGAATTGGTATTTATTAATCCGAAAAGTTTGAGGTTCGTTCGGGTTTAAACAACGTGATTCTCTTTCACTTGTCCTGTTTAATTTTACATTAGAACATGCCATTAGGGGGTTAATGTGTACCGAGAAAGGGTTGAATCTGTGTGGGATAACAGCCGTCCTTGGCTATGCTGATGATATGGTCCTTTTAAGAGAAGACATGGAAACTATAAAACTGAATACAATAACGTTAATGAAAACCGGTAAAGAACTAAGGCTCAAAATAAACATGGATAAGACAAAATATATGATTAGCTGCAAAAATGGCGATAATTCCAGTGATATCGATATTATATTTAAACTCATAGAGAAGTTTAGGTATCTAGGGTCTGAAATAACTAGAAAAACTAAACTGAAGAGATTAAGGTTAGGCTGAAGAAGGGAAATGCTCATTATTTTTCTGTGACGAAAATTACTTAGCTGGCACCTCCTGTCCCAGAACTTAAAAATTAGAATCTATAAAACCATTATCCTACCTACGGTTCTTTAGGCATAAGAAATGTGGCTGCTTATATCAAGAGATGAGCAACGTCTTAAAAAAAAAAAAGAAAAAAAAGTGCGTTGAATATTTGGACCAGAGTTCAGAAGGTTGTACAATGCCGAGTTGCATGAACTGTATCCAGATAATATAATTGAGATGATTACATCGCGGCTATCAAATGGGCTTGTAAAATTGTTGGGCTTAATAACGAAAGAATTCATAAAAGAGTGATATTTGCTGTACCGAATGGTAAATGTCAGAGAGGTAGACCAAAGCGAAGGTTCGCTAAGCTTTTTATTATTATAGGTAAGTGAAAGTAAAAATATTAGATAAGTAAACAGAAAATAATAATAATGTCCATATTGAATGATAAAATATTAATTAAACAAGCAACAAATAAAATAAGTCTACCTGATCAAACTAATAAGAGAATTAACGTTAAACTAATCATACAAAGTAAAATAAATATATATATGAAACATCTGAAAATAAATATATTTTCAAATGTTTCATAACGATGCCAGCTATCTCAAAACTTTATCACAAAGTTCCTAAGCATGATTGGTAAAATTTATTACTGATTGATACATAGAACGGCTGTGGAAGAGTAACACAAGGAGAGTACCATTAAAAGGAATTAACCTAAAAAAAGAAAAGCAGATATATTTAAATTAGGTGCAGCTCAACAAGAAATGGGACAAATCTTTAGTAATTTTGATATTACACAAATGTAAAAATTCTAAAAAAATTACAGAGTAACTCGGTAAAAGTTATGATGTATTTTTTTATTTATTTTTTTTTAAATACAAAAATTTACTTTATTTCTTGGGTATTTGTCAGCCTAAATTATAGACACAGTGTTTCAAGGAGTTAGGAATATCATTTATAAACTTCAGAGGTGATGCCACAAAATGAAGGAAAAAATCTTATTAGAAATAAAGACTTTTTTCTTAACTCAGCAATAATAAGTTCAACATTTATGTAACAAAAACTGTCAACAACTGTTTTATAGGAAAGTGAAAAAAATGGTGGTTGGTAATGTCGAGCTCTAAGGATTATCTTGTGATTGGTGACCTTGATGCTAAAACTGAAATAAATTGTTTCAGCAGTGTTAGGAAAACCTACTTTCTTTATTCAACTTTTGGATTTTGTAGACAAAATCTGTCAAAATTTTTGTGAACAAACTTACACTAGTGATACATTTCAAAAAAATAAAATCTGAAATGATCCGAAGCATTTGAGATGAAGAGAACTATAAAACTTAAAGAATTCCTTGGGTGATAAATATTCAGGATGCAGTCATTAAAAAGTTTTTATTAGTGCCAATGTTTCAACCCAAACATGTGGGTCATCATCAGCGCTGAGAATTTTTTAATACAATCAGAGATACAATATTATACAACCGATAATGGTTAATAATAAAAATATATAGTGATTGATGGTATGCGAATCTTAACTAATATTGCAATACAAAATATTACGAATGAAATATGTAAAAATGTATACAAACTAAATATTTTCTCCTATTAACCGTTGTTTGCGCACTGAAGGTATTTGAGTACTGACACATTTGGTAGGTAAGTGAAAGGGTTGGAAGAGGATTTCCCAGTTGTCCTTTTTCAACTGGGAGGGAACAAGGTAACATTTCTGTTTGTAGGATGTAAATAATTTGCTGACTTAATATTCAAGATGTTTGTCTCAAACAAGATTTGTGTTGTTTCTATTACAAATCTTGTACACATCTTGAATATTTAGTCAGCAAATTATTTACATACAGAAATGTTACCTTACTCCCCCTCTGACTATGTTTACCTACCTTTCGCTATCTGAAAAAGGACAACTGGGAAATCCTCCCTCGACCTTTTCACTTACCTATCAAATGTGTCAGTACTTGAATACTTTCAGTGCTCAAACCATGGTTAGTAACAGAAAATATTACAATTTTTATAAATGGATTACATACATTATTTTTAATTTGCATAATTTTTTATATTGTTTTGTATTGTAATATTAGTTAAGATTCATGCACCATCAATCACTATATTTGTGTATTATTAACCATTATCAGTCGTATAATATTATATCTCTGATTGTATTTAAAAATTTTCAGCCCTGATGATGACCCACATGTTTGGATTAAAACGTTGGCACTAATAAAAACTTTATAATGACTGCGTCCTGAATATTTTTCACCCATGATATGTAGAACAGTCGACTAACTTTCTTCAATTAAAGAATTTCTGTAGTACTCACTTGGGTTTCTATTTCTTTAGTATATTTGCATCTAGAAATATAACTAAACCTCATAAAGAAGGCAGAATAAAAAATAAAAATTTATTGAAACCATATAATAATACATTAGAAGTAAATAAAGATTGTAAAACCATTTTATTTTATATTTTTTTACTTAGAAATTCCAAAATCAATCCCTGGAACTTGATATTCTTGACTTCATTATGTTGTTACAAATCTTGCACATTTTCTTTCCCCATTCTATCTCAGCATTTTTCAAGTAAACATTTGTAAGATGCCATTTACATTATTTCTTATACTTTCATATTCATTGCTGAAAAATGTTTCCTGAAAGAGTATGTATAAATAGTTCTTTAGTCATGTGAAATAATGAAATATTTATTAATATTAATATACAAATATTACACCAAACATGTGATTAATATAATAGAAGAAAAATTGGTTGCAGTGTTCAGTTAAAAATGCAAAGTAAAAATAAATAAATGATATTGATGAATAAATATGAATATTCAAATTTAATTATGGTTAATATTATATGTAAATATAATTATGGGGAATATAAATATAGGTATTCAGCAAAAAAATACAAAGTAAAAATAAATAAATGATTAGAGTGCTACTAGGGGTTAGTTTCTCAACAAGCGTTTTCATGTGATTATATTTCTGTGTACACATTTACTTGATGTATTTATATTAATACAGTTGTAAATATCATAGATAAAATTTAAAAAAATAAAAATAAATAAATCTTATTGATGAATGAATTAAAAATAAAAGCCTGCAAATTATTCCACAATGGTTTATTATTTCCAAACAATTGTAGTTCAAAAGTAACACTACTTTTCATTTAACATAAGCAAAAAAAAATTAAACGGAGATTCCTAATATTGCCCTAAATCATTTTTTATTTCATCATTAGTAATTTTCTAAGAAACATAAAACACATTGCTTCAGTAGAGCTAACACTTTCAGGATATTAAAAACCAAAACAAAGGAAATAAGCTTTGCAGTAACACATACGAAAAATATTTTTAAAACCGTATATTTGCATTAAATTGTCCGATTTCAACTATTCTTTTTTTAATATTTTAGGAAATTTTATAAACTTTTAAATGACCATATACAACATCTATAAAAAAGTGTATACTTTTTAAGTTATTCAGAAAATTAATTTAACGACCCCTCATAACTTTTTTTTCCAGCTTCTTTTCGTTGAAGTACGTAATATAGATAAACCTTAAGGAATTCAAAAGAGAAGATTTTAGCCAAGTTTCTTGAAATCGGTACATTATTTTAGGCACTACAGTCTAGAGTAACACAAGTTTTTCTGCCCCCATATTAAAAGGAAAGGGCGGATAGTAATATCGTGGTAGTAGGATCATCCTCAGAACCTCTGACTTAGATTCCAAATTTGAAAAAAATCAGTCCAGTAATCTTGGAGAAAATGTGAGGACGGACTAATTTTTTTATTCACTTTTCGATTTCTAGGTGTACTGAAACGTAAAACATCAAATTTTGAGGGGGTTGTTTTTTAATTTCTTAAACGATTAAAATGTTTGATTATTGAAAATAATAAACCAAAATAAATGAAAAATAAATATTATTTATTTATTGTTACTTTTTATTTTTGACTGAGCACCCCAATCAACTTATCTTCAATTATTCACTAAAAACAACCATCAATCCACTATGATTAATATAATAAACTTATGATATCTAATCTATTAAGTGTTCATATTTTAATTTAATCATTATAAATATACTTACACTTGTCAACGGCACAGGAAACCTTATCATGGGATGATGGGAGTGAATTTTCTCTGATTTTTCACAATTGATGCATAAATCAAAATCAGGGCACACTATGCACTTGTACCTATAGCCCTGTAAGGGATTCTGTTGGCACCCATCGCAAGTCACTCCATTATGTACAACAGGCCCACTATTCAGTATGTTGATCGAAGGATAACCTAATGACAAGTTAAATTAATGAAATATACTTTATAATTCAAAATGATTCCATAATCAATACCAAGCTTAATTTGATGTAATTTAATTTTTGTTTTTTAAAAGAGCATTAGGGCCAAGGCACCTTAACAAATCATACTTCATTTTTAACAACTAAAAATCAGGACACGTTTAGACCAAGGCTTCAGTGACGAATAAAGTTCAAAATATAATAAGCAAGTCGGAGAAAAAAAATTCAGATTAATACATTTTACAAATTACATTAATTCACTTTTCAACTTGAAGTTATATAAAAATTAATTAGACAAAATTAAATCTAAGTACTTTCTCCAAAATTGCTACTTAAAGATGGTGGCTGGTTTCAAGATCATATTGATTATACTATAAGTGGAAATGGTCAATATCTAACTTTTTTTTTCTTTTTATTCACTGATGGGACATTGCAGGAAATGGGAGTAGATGTGTGACTAAGGCTAGCTATTCTAAGACTATATCATATACGGAAAAATGTAGTCAGAACCTGCCACCACATCTCAAAAGAGTTCATGTCCAGCAGCCGGCAGGTTTGTCCATAACTTTTCATAAATCACCCTTGACACTGTACTCAAAAAAATCCATATCAGACTTGAGACCGTTTCAACTGGGCTTTAGAAGATTCCAAAAAGTAACAACACTAGCTTTGACTTATAACCTGGTCATAATTGGAAGCAATTGTAGAAACCTCCAATTCAACCTTTGCATCCTCCAAAAAGAGCTAAATAAAATAGATGTGGTAATCAATTTAGAGAAAATCAAATTCACGAGATTAGGAAGGAAAAACGACAGTGTGAACAGAGTTTTAAAGCTTAATGGAGTAGAAATAGAACAGGTGAGCGATTTTCAACATGTCTTCCTCTATAGTATCTTTGATTTGGTTTATTTAAAATAATTAACTATCTCTCATTGTTAAAAGTTATAAAAAAAGGCTAAATATAACTTTTGAAAGAATTTGATAACTGAATAAAGGAGAAAAAAAGAAAAATGCTTATCCAGGTCGAAAATAATAATCAGAAGGTATACGTATAACATATCGTTGGAAAGCAGAGAATTTTGATATCCAATAAATAAAGTTGTAGAAGGTAACAGAGAATGACGAAAAAAATATAAATAATAATTTATGAAAACTAATATTATTTAACGTAAATCACATGTTTTCAAGAAAATAAAACGAAATTTTCTTACTAAATGTAAACTTTAAACAATTTGTTTTAAGTTTAAAAAAAGTATTTAAAATCCACGGAATCAAAGCACTGACATTGTTTAAGATACTATTTTATTGTACTTGAAAAAGAAGTGAAATACAAAAATATTTCATGGATATGTTTATAACCTTAAATATGTTTAAAGTAGTTTATGAATAATATGTATAATATAACTCTAGATCTAATATTATATTTAAATAATTAGGTATCTATCATCCGTTCATTCCGAAAAATCATCATGTAACCTTTTAGAAAATTAAATTAGTGAAAAATTTTATGAATTTTCCCTTTGTGATATCCCAACAGTATCCATTTACAAATAGTGTGATGACTTTTGACCAATCTATGATAGGCAATACAAATATCATAATTCCATTTTCGTAAACTTTGCAATGGAAAATAATGGTTTAATAACTAATAGTCGTACAATCCATAATCAACAATTAATATAATAAATAGGATTTCTATTATTTTAGTGGTAACAATGATTTGTCAGCTGCAAGATTTAAGCTTTAGCTCAGTTAAAAATGCACTTAAAAATTTTATAATAGCCTAACATTATCAGGAAATAAGTTCTATTCAAAGTATAGCGATAAGTGAATGTTGAGTGTTGCGTGAACCAGATTTTTTAAAATTAATATTAACAATAGAAGACAGTTAATTATTTAAAATAAACCAAACTGAAGGTACTTTAGAGGAAGAAATTTGGTACATTAGACATTTAAGCTCTGTTAGGTGACATCAATGGGACCTAGCTGACTTTGAAGACCATTTAATGCTGATATACTGAGTTTTATTAAAATCGTTTTTTCAAGAAAATTGTAAAAATGTGTTAAATTGATGAAATAAAGTGCCACTTCTGGTTTGCCGATTTTAACAAAAAATTTGCAGTAACATCCCAGGCATATGCATATAAATACAAATTCCAGTTCCTAACGACTTATCGTTTTTTAGCTACACTGTTCTCATACACACAGACCATTTTGCAAGATTTGGTTATTTCGTTCGACTCATGAGACCTCAAAACGTGTATATCCACTGAAAACTCGGATTCAAAAATTTTCATGATACAATACTTTTCCATAATATAATATTCCAATTGTAATTCCATAATTCCAGAGTGTCTCCGCTGTTAATGGCCAAACTCTTGGAGGGAGGTGGAGGGAGAGGATGATTCTAGACAAAATTTCTAACAAAATAGTTCATTAGATGCATGGGCCGACTCTAAACAGAAAAGGAGAAGACCAATTTTATGTCTTCCTTTAGATGGTCACATTTTTTATTGAATAAGAACAAATTTCTCAAAAACTATTCAATATAATTAAATTTTAAAAACACCATCGTAAATTAGGCAAATTTCCTTTTTTCCAGTGATTTTCTTCCTTTAATTTCGCTTAAGAAAACAGTGATTAATTTTACCAAGGTCAATGATAAAAGGAACTTTCAGGAGGTCTAAAACGATCGCTCTACTGCTGCAGTTACAGTACCCAAACACAAGCAGCATATCTCTATATTCCTGATTCGTACGCAGCAGTACAGTGTTCGTATTAGACCTGGTGAAAATCCCTTTTATCGTTGTCCTTAGTAAATTTAATCATTGTTTTCTTAAAGGAAATTTTGTCTAATTTACAATGGTGTGCTTAAAATTTAAGTTTCTTAAATCGTTTTTAAGCAACTACTTCTTATTCCATAAAACACGAGACCACCTTAAAGAAGACACAAAATTGGTCTTAACTTCTATTCTGTTCGGAATCGACCCCTGCATCAATTAAACTTTTTTGTTGGAAATTTTGTCTAGAATCAACCCCCGGAGTATTGCCATCAAGAACTGAGACATATATATTTACTTTTATTTATTTATATATTTCATATATAAATAAATAAAAGTAATAAAAAGTATGGCTTCTATACACTTAGTAATTTTATATTCTTAATGAGAGAGCCAATACCGTCTCAAATACATAAAAAAAAAGTAAAATAATAGATAGGATTATTTAAGTTCAGAGATCGCTATAACTTATTGCCTAACTATTAAAATAGAATAATCTTTTTCAATGGTTCAATGGAAAAAATTTCAAATTATAAAATAACATCAGTAAAATAGTAAATACAAAAGTGTAAGGTTAATAACAATACAGAATAACAGTAAGAAGATAGATGATAGTAATAAGATTAAATATGTAAGATAATAGTAATAAAAGTAAAGAATAAAATCAACAAAATTATAAGTGTAAAAGTATACACAAGTAAAACAGTAAAATATGATGCAATAGTAAAAACATTGAAACATGATAAGACAATGATTTTTTTATAGAAATGAATGAAAAAGGTAAGTATTGTACTTCAAAAGAAAGGTTTAAAAATCAAGTAATTAGTACAAATAACAAGAAAAAAACAATTAAATAAATAAGAAGTGTGTAATAAACAACGCATGTAAATACAAATTTAACAAATACAGCAAATATATATAGAAACAGAGTTTAATAAATAATAAATAGTTTCGTAACAGTTACCTATCTTATGAGAGTTGATACAAGAACTGAGGGTTTGCGGAAATCAGTTTGGATGAGAAGCGAAAAATAAAAGAGGGATGCGAAAAGGTAGCTGTAATTTAACGACTATCTAACTGAAATATTATAAATATGTCAAAACACAATAAATATGTTAACATATAGTAAAAATTACAAATACATAATTAGATAAGAATAGATACAGCTTGTAAAGTAAACTAAATTATTTTATATATATATATATATATATATATATTCTTCTAAATATTTCACATATATCTATATTATTTTTAAGTTTTAAACATATGCATTAGGAGAACAGAAGATAAAGGAAAAATACTAAGAAGGTAAAATAAAAAATTAATTGTAAATACATTCTAAACAAATATGTGTAAATACTTGTTGCAGGAAAAAATTGTAACAAATATTAATAACGTTATGGCAAAAAGTCCGAAACGTTGGACAGATGAATAAATTGATATATACTGAAGTTAAATTTGTATTTACATGTATTGTTTATTACACATTGCTTATTTATTTAATTGCTTTTTTTCTTGTTATTTACACTAATTACTTTTTTTTATTAATTCATACTTTTGATAAACAATACTGACTTTTTTCATTTATTTATATCAAATAATCATTTTCTTACCATATTTCAATGTTTTTACTATTGCATCATATTCTAATGTTTTTACTATTGTATACTTTTACACTTATAATTTTCTTATTTTATTCTTTACTTTTAATACTATCATTTTACATATTTAATCTTATTACTGTTATTCTTTACTCTTATTACCCTTACATTTTTATATTTTTTATTTTACTCACGTTATTTTGTATTTTATAATTTTTAGCCCTGAGGATGACACACATGTTTGGATCGAAACGTCAACTAACCTTATAAAATTTTTTTACTGTAAATCAAGACAATTTTGTTTCATCCTATTATCAAAATGTATTTCAAATTAAACTTTTTACTAACCTTTCTGTTCTGTTAATGTAACATATATCTTCTTCGCACGAAAGCTACCTCGATTTAAAAGAATTAAAAGATCTTCATTTGAACTAATTTTGATTTTGTCGCCTTCTTCATCTGAAATCAATAAAATAAAATAACATAGTTATTTAATCATGAATCATCATTCAAATTTAACATGACTCCAGTAAGGTTAATATCATTATAAACAGAATCCCTGTTTGCTATAAGGGTTGGTTGATAAGATCAAAGAACTTTCCTCATGTAAAAGGCTCATTCTGATGTATTATAAGCAACACAATCCCATGCAGATGCCATTATTAATGTTTTAAGTTAAAAGAACAAAAACAACTGAGGTATATTAGATTTCAAGTAAAACTTTCTTCTATTTCAATAGACGATTACTACCAATACTCCCGAAAGATAAAGAAAACAAAACTTACCACTTCATGAAAATTACTAAATCCTATTCAAAAGTTCATACTTCAAAATAAATCTCTTATTAGATTGGAACTAATTTAAGACTAACATATCAAACCCATACAACACGGAACAGAAAACAACTAAACTAACAATCGGACTCCTATTTAGGCTATTTGACAAATGCTCCAAATTATTCTTAACTATCGAACTTACTATCTGTAATTAATTATAAACTATTTATGGACTTAGAGGGTAGAGCTATGGGGCATTGCGAAAAAGTCTAACAAAATTCAAACTTTTCAATCAAAAGTTTTGCAAAACATTGCAGATGCACCTTTCTATGTGACAAATGACTTATTACTCAAGGACTTGGACATCCACACGGTTTCAGATACAGCAACACAATACAATAAAAACTTACATAAGAGACTGACTTAAAACATGAACCCATAAGCTCTAATACTTAATTCCACGTCAAACCCGAAGATCCCATCCCAACGACTTTTAAGGTAGTGGCCAAGAAACTTCCTAACTTAACCCCTACCTGGGAGTTCAGATTTTCTTACTGCAGAAAAAGACTTTGAAAACAGGAAATTCATGAACCATGACAGATTAAACAATTACGTTAATAAATAAATAAATAGATTGCAGCAGTGCATCAATGTAACTACCACTAAAAATAGATAATGCTTAATTATCCAACAGTAGAGGTGTTGATTACTGTAGTTAGGAAATATAACAATAATGTTTATTGTAGGTTTAAGATGTTCTTTATAAATATATATATATATATATATATATATATATATATATATATATATATATATATATATATATATAATAAGTGAAGGTGATAGATATTTAAGCTGACCTAACCTAACAACATAATAAAGGATTAGTGATCAGTCTACTTTCATCGAACATCTACGTTCAGACAAAATTGGGTTGTAGAGATAGAATTCTATGCACAATATTACAAATTAATAATTTGTAATATGAATAATTAATAATTACAAATTATTATGATTTTGTTGTCATTAAATAGAACTTACCTAATTTTACCAGCTTTGAGAGAAAATAACACAGCTACTAATTTCAGGCTTTAAAACCTTCGGTCTCCAACTGAAGGATTCCATTTATTAAACTTTCAAATATGTTTATAAACCTGAAAATGGAGGTAATTAAAATTCCCTTGTTTAAAAATATAGTACCTTGAATTCCAAACAATTCAATTGAAATAAATAAAATCATTTTGTGAGTAAAACAAACAAAATAAGGAAGAATTTTGAACACTGTTACTCAGAAATTCATAAATAATCTATAAGTGGCAGATAGCTAACAAGGATCCTGTAAGAATGACTTATTGCATCGCTAAATTTATCAAATGACGCAGACCTATAAGACAAGCCCTTTGATATGATTTAAATGCATTATCATCATAATCAATGAATAAAATCATAAGAGAAGTGGATGTATAACCATTATACAATAAATCCTAACACCAGCATGAATAATTATGCAGAAATAAATCACTACAATAAAGCAAAGCTATAAGACTTCAATCGCTAAGAAATTATATAAATCCCTATATTCAAATCTAGTCAAATCATAATAATAATAATTAATAAAATAAAAATGAGCCCTAATTTAATATGAGATGTACCATACATGGAATACATAAAACAAAATATATGTCATCAAATTAAAAACTAATAATTGAAATTGAAAGAATTGGAACATCTTACCTTTCCAATGCAATACAAAATCGTGGTCTCTCAAAATTGGAAAAAGGTCAATGATTCTAAATCTAAGATGAACAAAATCGCAACGGGAAAAACCGTTTAGTTGAATACAACGAATTTCTTCTTCTCCATTAGGGGGTGTAAAATAAACTTTACAATCGACCGAAGGCAACGATGTACCAAAATTAAGACTATTAGTTGAAAATAACGACATGACAGCTACATCAACCAGCTCAGTCAATGTTATCGTTGAATAACCTTGGGTTTCCCCACCAAGTCAAAACGAATATCCCCACCCACAAGCGGATACTTGATTTAATTTTGGGGGCTTCAGCCCGGAAGTTGTATGTATATATATACATACAACGATAAATACCTTGAAAGAAAAAGAAAGAAACCAACTATTTATGAAAAGGTGTTTAAGTTGTTCTTTAAATCCATTTTAAAAATTTATACACGAACAATAATACTTTTAGAGATAATTTCTTTATATATTTTTTATAAAAACAGTTATATTTTACCATTGACGGGGGGGGGGGGGGAAGGGGACTTCAGCCTGAAAGCTCTCCCCTCTCTCCGTAGATCCACCTGTGATCTTTGGTAATTATTTCGAAATAACTAATCTTAAAACAAATCGTAATTAAGATTAAAAGAACGTAATCGGTGCTGAGTAATATAGAGGGTTTCAGAGAACAAGTTGCTGCATCACAATTTTTGATGAGGGCATATTTTATATATTAACGCGCCCCTCTCCTAGATCCGTTGGTAACTCAAAGAGTACATAGATAATGCCAATGAGATGCTTTCGAGCTAAAACTCCTGTTCTATGGTTTCATTAGTCGATATTTTTTTTTTCATCGATCCATATTTGTTTCTATGAGTGATCTGAACTAAAGGATAAGTTCCTAAACTTAGCATTGAGATTATTGATGAGCATCGAAAATCCATCCTAAGCTCATCGATATAACTATCAGCAAGTTCCCAAACTATGATAACAACCCTATTTTAACAAATAATCGCAATGTTTAATTTAATGTTTAAATTTTAACGCATATACTGCTACTCATATGAACTGACTTTTCATTCTGGTTGGGGTTATAACTCCCCCCCCCCCTCCTCCTAAATAAAGTCTCGGGCGTTTACATTATTATAAAAATTATGAGTGATAGTTAAAAATCAGCATAATTATTATAAGGTTTGAGATTGAGTCAGTGAGATGAACTCTCAAAAATTCTTCGATGCTTCAAATTTGCTACTAGAAATGTGATAAAACCTTAAAGTAAAAATGGAAGGGTAAACATGAATAAATCATAAAATTCTAGGATATGGTGGATATATATATATATATATATATATATATATATATATATATATATATATATATATATAATCAATTAATATCAACTAAAATTTCAATAATACTAAGATAGGCTGAAGTAAAATACTTACTTGCCTACTTCTAGTCCTTTGCTTTGCCATCTAATTGACTTTTCTTATTTTCTTAATTGATTTTAGATTGTATATTTTATTCATTCATGTTGATTAATTGTTATTGATTTTATTTTGGATCTTCGAAATGTTGGGAGGAGGGCTCGAAACGATATCCACGCCCCCTTTCTATTTTAATTGGGGAGCAATCTATAAAACCAAATAAAAAAGCTTTCTTCCAAATAAAATCCTGAATACGTTAATTATTCACGCTCTGAAATCTATAATAATAAAATCCATATTTATAGTATTCTTATAATTATGTTTATTTGGTATTAATTGTATTATGCGAGGGCTCTCCACAAATACAAATAAATAATAGAAAATATTATTTTTCATGTCTATGACATTTGAGTAACTGATTCAATAAACAAGTAATAACGTGGCCGAGTCAGAGAGATAAATCAATTCAAACCATTCAATTAGTCGAGCCAATACTGATCTCTTGTTTTTCGTCTACAAATTATCACTTACTTAAAAAGCTCTTTTATTTAGTTTTTAAATCATCAATTTCGCAAATATAATTATATAATTAAACTTCTCTGTATCCTACATGAAGGTTTATTAAAATATATATATATATATTATTTATATATATATATATATATATATATATATATATATATAAAGATCGTGTTTTCATTCTTGTCATACTTGACCAGATGAAAACCACTTGTGAATCCACGGAAGAAAGAAATATTTTCGAACTGAAGCACCTCACCTAAACTCCCTCTCTCTCTAAAAAAAGTAGACAATATAATTCTTTTCATTAGTCCATATTATTTTTTTGATAGCGGTCTTTGCTAAATACTTTAACAGTTGTAATATTTAATCTTTTTAAGTTATAACGCGTACATCGCTACGAAATGTAAGAACGTGTCAAGAAAAAAACAAAAACATTATTGCTGAAAGGATTAGGTATTCTTTCTAATTAAGGTTTTTATTTTATTTTATTCTTATTTCTAAAGCTGATCTTCAAGGACCACTAAAAGATCATTTAATATTCAATATTCTTATATTCCCCTCCCTCCAAAAATAAGGAAAAATAATTAAATCCTAGATAAAAGGCAGCTAAAAACCACAATATTTATTATGGTTTAAGAAGTACCATGAGCAAATTTTTCTGTACATATATTACGTATCTGGTTATAAATATAGATTCACAGATTTTATAAAATTTCAACTATTTAATCGTTTCCGATCTCCTCCAGAACATTAAATTTTTTTATAAACCAATCATAATTTTTTTGATAAATATGATGAAACAATATTTTTTTCAAGGATAAATTTTGAATAAACTTCTGGTAATGGAAAATGTTTACTGGCGAAGATTATCCAGGATGGATAGAATAAGAAACAAAAAAATGAAGAAAACATGGAGGGAAAAAAATGCACAAGGAGATCGAAAAATAAATAAATTGGGTGATACGGACATTTAAAAAAAATCCCTGAATGGAGATTTCCAAGGGATGTTTACTTTTGAACACTAGCAGGAGAATAAGGCGACATCGGTCCAGAAAAATATGGAATGAACAAATATAAGTTTTTATGATGGGACATTGTTAATTAGAGAAATAGACCATAGATAGAAAATAAGAAAGGGACATATAGAAAGGAAACTTATTAAAGAAGCCTATTGTTTTATAGAAAAATTGTTTATAAAAAAATAATACTTTCTTTATTTTAAATAAAAAGTTTTTATTTATTTATTTTAATAGATTGTTAAATAAAACTGATCCGGGCTACACTTGACAAGGGTGTTTCGCAGTATTTTTTTACATTTGGAAAATTATTGATTATTATTATTATGATTATTTGTATGTCACTGATTCAGCACAAGGAAGAATACGAGTACATCCTTTCAAGACAAACCCCAATCCCATCCAAATCCACTTGTTTCCAGCCATGCTTGTTCCTCAATTTCTGATAATCCTTTTAGGCGTCTAGAAGATGGCCTCGTGATCTTACTTAGAACTATTTAGGGCACGGGCGGATCTACGGGGGGGGGGGGGGCTTTCGGGCTGAAGCCCCCCCCCAAAATGGAAAAATATAACCATGTTTTATGGGAAAAAAATTTAAAAAATACCTCTTAAAGTATTATTGTTCGTGTAACTACATTTAAAAGTACTTAAGGAATAACTTAAACACCATTTCATATAGGTAGTTAGTTTCTTTCTGTTTTTCCAAAGTAATTATCGTTATTTTTATGAAAAAAAAAAGGTTTCGGGCTGAAGCCCCCCCCCAAAATTAAATTCTGGATCCGCTAGTGATTTAGGGAGTGCTATTATTGGTTAATGTCTCCACAAGCCTATTAATGTCATTACTATTGATTTGCTCACATTAACTAGTTGTATTTATTTAGTACAGTTGTAAATTTCAATTAATAAATAAAATTTAAAAACAAAAGTTTTATTTGCGTTAGCTGTGTTCACCCAGTGAACGAAAGGTGTATTAATAAAGAGTCAGTCCTCTGTCATACCCTTCAGCAACTCTGGTGAACCGCTCTGATTGTTAATTAGCAAGTCCATCGGACTTAGCCGGAAGGAACTTCCAAGGCATTTCTGCCGTCGATCTTTAATGTCGGTCCCGAAGTTAAATCCTTTCCCTCCCCCTGGAGAAATTAAACTCAAAACCTATGAAAATAACAGGTTTCATTTCGGAAATAACTGATACATTTAATTAATAACTGTTTTTGGTGTGTTGCGGAACAGGTATCCTGACCAATTACCGGCGCAAATTTGTAAGAACATTGAGTACATAACGTACTAGTAGATTTTCTATTTATTTAGTCTGTCCAATTATCAGTAAGTATGGAGCAGTTTGTTTTATTTAGTCATGCCTATAAAAAAAAATAATAATAATAAAAAAAATTGTGAAATTTTGTAGGAAGACTTTATAAGTTCTTCACATTAATGTGTTAGATTTGTATGAGACAATTTTAAACATAATAATTTAATAAATAAAGAGAAATAAATTAGTAATAATATATGAATGTTCACAATAATATGGTAAGAAAATACTAAAAATTAGGAGGTTTTGAAAAAGGCCCGGAGCTTTAAGCGAATAAAATATTGTAAAAAATAATAAAGAACTTATAAAGTTTTCCTACATTTTTAATTTTTTTTTCATTTATTATTTATTTATTTTTTGTTTTGTATAAATAGGGAAGGTTTCTACACGAAGTACTAAGTACCATTGATGGGAATCGGAAATCCATCAAGCCGTTCCTTTACTTATCAATTGAATCATCAATAGTTCCGCAGTTCTACCAGCTTTTTGGAGCAATGAATCTGCTAGATGTACGAAATTATTAACTCAGTGTTTTTATTTATCAATTTACTTATCAACATAATTATATTCAGCTTATTTTTTATCTATTATTATTAATGTTTTGAAATTCAACAAATCAACAGGTAATTATTTCCTTATATTTTTTCTAATTTATATGTGCTTATGTGTTCCCTCTATGGGCTATCAGCGCTAAGTTTAAGAACCTTGACTTATTTTATTATTCAGTGCCAGCTTTAAGGGCCTCTTACACGGTCAATATTATTGAGCCAATATTAGATCAGTTAAGATCTTACTTCCACGATAGGTTTCCAAAAAAAAATTCAGGGAAGAGGGGGATTTATTTTATGAGAGGTATGGATTCGTCTCCCCCTCAAAAAAAAATTACAGTTAAAAAAGTATCACCCACCTATCTAAACATATTTCCATTATATCTTTAAAATATATTTCGGAGGGGGA